ACTGTCCTGTCTGGCATGCTCTGGGATCAAGGCCCTGGCTCAAGGTCCCAACCCTAGGACTACAGAGAACTAAGACCATCAGGCCCCAGGCACTCTGGAGCTGTGTCCCCTCCATGGAGCTTCTCCTGATGCGCTCCCCCAACCACTATATTTGCAACCTCCAACACTCCTTCCTCCCCCTAGGCCATGATCATCCTGAGGGTAGGGAGTCTATCTGACCCACAATGTCCCTTCAGCACCAGGCACCGGCGCCTGGTCCCTAAGCAGCACTTAATGATTATAGCAAAAATAATTTAGTAAATCCCTCTTTAGTCTTAATTGTTCATTCAGCCTCAGTTGTTCCCATCACTCTTCTAATATTTGATTCTCTGTTATTCAATTAAGTAACGTGAACAGACTACCCTTGAAGGAATAATGAGCATTAACATACTTTTACAAAATTTCATTGAGGGGTGCCAGCCTCAGTTGGTGGAGCACATGACTCTTGATCTCGGTTGGGGTTGTGAGTTCGAGCCCACGTTAGGTGTAGAAATTACTTAAAAATAAAATGTTAAAAAATTTCAATGAATATTCAAGTCAGAGATTTATACACCAGTACACCCAATCAATCATCCCAAATCCTAGGACTCTTCAAGCACCAAGTAAACAGGAAGATGAGAATACAAAGTATTAGGGTAAGGGAGCCAAACAAGGCCCTGAAGTTAATCCTTCCCAAGAAATTTGTAGCTGAAGCTTCTAGAAAATGCCAGTGCCCGGCCAGAGGGAAAAGGCTCTCTCAGTTCTCTGGCTCTATTCCTTCTACACCAACTGTTAGCTAATCCCAAACTCATACTTTCCAGTGGTGGACACCAGCTCAGAGTGCCTGTTAATAGTTCTAATGCAAACCTATGAAAGAAATCCACTACAGACCCTCCCAAAATAAATTAATAACCAAATCCCAAATATTATCTTCTTTAGCTGTCAAACTACTTTGAAATTTAAAAATAGTATCGATATATTATTGCTTCTTCACTAAGTATCTCAGAACCAATAAAACAACTTAAAAAAATGGCAGAGATTCAGAAATTAAGAATGGAAAACTGTCTCTTTTTCAAAACCTTCCAAAAATTCCCTTGACTATCTTGAGAATTTCATAGGGATAAAAAATTAATAATAATCTCGGTGTGGATACCAATTTGTTCACAAATTTCCTATTTAGCGCTGAAATCACAGATATTTACTGGACACCTGCTATTGTCGAGATATTCAGAAATCATTAAATGTTAATTAATAGAGCATCTAGACCAAGGTTACAATCATGACCTCGCTCCAGCACTTCTCAGTGTATGGGACCTCAGACAAATCCCTCTCCTTTCCACCTCAGCTTCATCAGGGACAGAGCAGTGAACATGCCCCTGCCCCAGGACCACCGTGAGGGGACTCCAACAGCCAATCCAGGGCCTGGCAGAGCCCCTGGCAGCGTCAGTCCACAACAATGCAGGTTCCCAAGCACCCGTTTCTCACGAGGCTGGCGCTACATTAGTTATCCACCTCTGACCACAGCAGGGGAGAATTGACACACAAGTCAGTCAATGGCACATTATAAACTCAGGGCCTGGGAAACACAGGCACTACAGAGCCCCTAAGAGGCTCTCACATGGAGACAGAGTCTAAGGAAACTCCTGTGGAATGAATGATGCTGTCACTGACTTCTGAATGAGCCAAGCCAGAAAAGGAAGAAGAGCAAAGAGGCCCAGGTGCACGGTATCCCACAGTGCCAGCTCAGAGCCAGGAGTGGTGAGGGCTAAGTTCTAGAGACAGAAGTAGCAACCCGACCCCTGACGGCCTCTCAACACCAGCCTACAGCTCTTGACTGGACTCTGTGAGTTGAGGGGACAGCCTCTCATAGGAGTCCTCATAACATCTAGAGTTCAGAAGGGCAGCTTCTTAAATCCCAGCGAAATGGCAATTACGTTAGAGCCAAAGGAGTGAGGTGACCACATCTATAACAAGGTGGGAAGAAGCCAGAGGAAGGACATTTCCTTCAGAAAACTACACAAATTCTACTCCGTGTTTTAGCTTTTTTTTTGTTTTTATTTTTTTTTTATAAATGTTAGCCATTATTATTATTTTTTTAAAGATTTTATTTATTTATTTGAGAGAGA